TAGATTATGAATAATACTTATTGAAAGTCACTTTTTTCATTTACCACTGGTTCGCAAAAAATACATCTGTCCTGGGAAGAACTAGCAAGAAACCCAACGAGACTAGTTTTTTTTTTAAATAAGAGCTTACAATCATGCGTGTTACAATTAACAACACAAAACAAATTACATATAGCTTGGTAGCGATCACCCTTCCCAGGGCTTATTGTCATCCATAAATTCCTTAATATTAAAATAACCCTTTTTATACAAACTTAGTATAATAAAGTTTTTGAACTATGTGTACTTACTTCAAATTTTGTATATTTTCTGGCATTTTGTTATAAAAGCGTATACATTGCCTTAAAAATGAATTACTGATTCTGTGGAGTCGAGTAACTGGTATTGAAATGTCGGGATATTGAAATTATGTAGTGGCTATTTTAACACGGCCTTGTATATGAGTTTTTTTGCCTACAAAAATTAACTTTGACAAAGTAAAAAAAAAAAAAAAAAACTTGTTTTATTCACGATTCGTGTAATTTAAGGAATTTTGAAAATAAAAATTAAATTAAACAAATAATATTTAAGAAATTAATGATTAGATTATTAGAATATTTTTACCGATTATTTAATTATTTTGCCGTTATTCGCATAACAATGAATTTTAATTACCCAAACACTACGGTAATATACATAGCGACATGTCATTGAAACGACTTCAAGTAAAAAAGTTAATACTGGTTATTTTTTAATATTTTGCTTTGTTTGAAAAATTCAATTTTAAATTAGTGATAAAAACTATACACGTTGTAATGAAATATAGATAACTTCATAATTCTTAGAATTTGCGTAAAAGGTTATTTTAAATCGTGTGAGTACGCTTGTGCAAAGTTATTACGGAATGATTAATGTGAAACGTCAAAAGGTATTTCTTAGATTTGGTTGACTATAATAAACGCTTAGTCGTAATGCACATCATGTAATGTATCGGCTTTTTGCGTTCTACAATGCGGCTGATAATGCTGGATTTTAAGTGTCACGCAATACAAAATGAACAATTGCAGCGGGTTGTGTCTGATAATTATCTTTAATGCTGTAACATACACTAGCGCTTTTGCGATGTGGCTAGAAATATTGTCCTAAAGAAAGTGGAACTAGTCGTTCTGTAATTAGGCTAGACATTGTCTGCCGTTTTAGTCAATGTATCGTAACGTCATTCCGGCTGAATGTCAGTAATCTGCATTTGTAAACGGTGCCGTATTAAAAAACGTTGGCTGCAACGATTTGTCGGCCGCCGCAACTCTGTCACCCAACGCTTACAAAACGATTTATTCACTAGCAATCGTACCCTGTGCCGCCGTTTAGAATAATATCACCTGTGGCGGCGCTGTCGTCGCGCCGCAAGCGAAACACACCGAAGCCTAAATCACGCTATCAACATTCCGAATCATAAACGGTATATATAGAACATCTCCGAACTATCACATGTTGTGTTGCTGCTCCCCGGGCAAACACTTTCCCCGGCAGGAGATCTCCCCTTTTCCTTCCACCGCCACAGTGGTGACCACCCAACCTGATCTGAACACGCAACCAACAACCTTCGGAAACTTCAAACTTCATCATCGTCATAAAATACCCACCCATTCGCTCCCGAGCAGATATCGTCTGCAGTCTTCATATCCTGCAAGCCAGCTAGCTTCACAAGGTTCATCACAGCACTGGAATATAATAATGCTTCCTGTTCCTTCAAAGCTACTCTCTGCGTTATACAGTGTTAGGCACGGCTCTGAGCTTTACTGCTCACCTCTGCTTCATGGCACTCTCGCAGATTACTGGCCTTCTTCTCGACTCACCGCAGATTACAAGGCAATCTCCTGGCACTTGCACATTCGTCGGCAACGAGGCTGCACTATCGACGTTCGGTCTGAGCAGGGGGGTGATGTGGCGGCTCTGTCGTCGCGCCGCAAGCGAAACACATCGAAGCCTAAATCACGCTATCAAAATTCCGAATCATAAACGGTATATATAGAACATCTCCGAACTATCACATGGAGTGTTCGCCGCTCCCCGGGCACACTGCACGAAACGAACCTACTTAGTTTTACGCAAAAGCTCGTAGGATGTATTGTTTTAATGTTTTTTTTTTTTGGAAATTCGGTAAGTTTGCCTATCAGCAGTTATGTTTTGTAATATTTTACAAATATTTTCCAGGATAGCTTCTATTCCACTTATACAAAACACCATGTTTTTTCCAGACAGTAAAAGAGTCACTCAGTATATGCGGTCGCCAACTGAGAGTGTTGTCTATAATAAAGACAAGATCTTGAACAGTTGTTGAGTATGGAACAGCAACAATATTAAAGATGATAGGAGGTGGCGCTTTCATTTCAATTCTAAGCAATCTACGAGTACTACCAATTACAAAAGTCTGACATTTTGATGGATTAACCCCAATACCAAATCTGTCTGACCGATAAGGAGAAATACAGTTTAGATCACAGTTGAGCTTCTTAATCACATCATCGATAATTGCCACCTCAGCTTGAGCATAAATGTTTTAGTCATCAGCTTGCAGGTGGTACGGTAATGAGATTTGTAAAGACTAAGAACAGGAGAGGAGAGAGAATTTAGCCTTAAGGAACGCCAGCAGACAACGAGCACTACCACTAAATAACACTTACGAGTATTATTTGGTATTCGGTATTGCTCGGCATTTTTTGTTACTCTTCTAATAGCGAGTAATAGTGTTCATTATTCGATATTTGGCGAATAGTCTAAATAAAATAAACTTATATTAAATGGACAGAAAAATTATAGATAGAGAAAATAATTACTTGCATCTTTTAAATAAAACACGCTTAGTGTTAATAAGTTAATAAAAAAATAAGCAAAATTCAGTCTCATGTTAAAGTTAATAAGACTTTTTAATTAACATTCAAAGTCTAAAAGAGAGAGATTGTAATGAAGAAAAACCAATTTTTCTACACGATTGGGATCGAGTCGGTTGCGCCTTTTTCGTAAACCAAACCTGCCTCAGAAAATAGTCTTTCTTAATAAACAGAGCTTGCTGGTGTGACTTAGTATAGTTTAGCAAGCTTACTTAAAATTGGGAATCGATTCTTATTGGTACTCAAAGATCACCACACATATGGGTTTATACTTCTGTCCTGTCCTTTTCTAACCTGACTTAGTTGGCAATTTCATCAACAATGGCATTATTGGGTAGCTTTTCATTAGGTTGCTCTTTTCTCGTAGATTTAGTGTCTTCGAAACATGCCCAAAATAGTTCATGAGTTTCTGAAAGGATATCCCCCTTTACATTGTCTATGCGAGATCTTTTGGACGCCATTTTTTACACAAAATGAGGTTATTCCCCGTAAAATATGTTAAGTACAACAAAAGGGTTGCCATGATAATAGTCATAATCATAGATTTTTTAGATTACAGTAACATATAAATAATTGATAAGTTCAAGAGACAAGTTAGTGTAATATTAGATTCTGTGGCCGTTGAAGGAAAAGGGAAGATCTCCCGCCGGGCAAGGTGTTCTGCCCGGGGAGCGGCCAACACTCCGTGTAATAGTTCGGAGATGTTCTATATATATACTATTTATGATTCGGAATTTTGATAGCGAGATTTAGGCTTCCGTGTGGTTCACTTGCATGCGACGACAGCGCTGCCATATCACCCCCTGCTCAGTCCGGAGGTCGATAGTGCAGCCTCATTGCCGACGAATGTGCAGATTGCCTTGCAGTCTGCGGTGAGTCGAGAAGAAGGCAAGTAATCTGCGAGAGTGCCGTGAAGCAGAGGCGAGCAGTAAAGCTAAGAGCCGTGCCGAACACTGTATAACGCAGAGAGTAGCTTGAAGGAACAGGAAGCATTATTATTCCAGTGCTGCGATGAACCTTGTGAAGCTAGATGGCTTGCAGGATATGAAGACTGCAGACGATATCTGCTCGGGAGCGAATGGGTGGGTATTCTATGACGATGATGAAGCTTGAAGTTTCCGAAGGTTGTTGGTTGCGTGTTCAGATCAAGTCGGGTGATCACCACTGTGGCCGTTGAAGGAAAAGGGAAGATCTCCCGCCGGGCAAGGTGTTCTGCCCGGGGAGCGGCCAACGCTCCCTGTGATAGTTCGGAGATGTTTTATATATACTATTTATGATTCGGAATGTTGATAGCGTGATTTAGGCTTCGGTGTGTTTCACTTGCGGTGCGACGACAGCGTCGACACAATTCTAATTGATAACAAATAAATTATTTTGTGTATTTTTTATGTCGAATAATAATAGCGAGTATTCGACTATTAGCCATGAGGAATGGCGAGTAATCAGTATTCGACTATTCGCGGCATCTCTGTTAAGAAGTAAGCTAATTAAAATATTCTCGTATGCTCGAATACGAAGATAACTACTGTCGTGAAGCACTCTCATATATTTTAATTTATATTTTTTTAGAAAACTTAAAATTTCTTGACTTTGAGATTTCTTTTTTATGTTTTATATTAAAAAAACTATACAAATATTTCGTAATAATGAAAAATGGGCGTACAATAGGAAAGTTTGCGATAAGCGCGGGGACTGCAGAGAGCTGCAGTGCCCGTATCATTGCATGTGTCGCCGGCCGCGCGCGCCACTTGAGGGGATTCCTCACGCATATTCCATTCACATAGTTCTACGCTAATATATCTAATCAGAGTTATGCAATTCCGTCCACATTCATCTTTTATTTTATTTCATCATGACGATGTCCACTGTCGAGTTCATCATTATATATATGAAGATTTTTTAAATATGTTATTTTTTAAATTATAATGTGAAATACTTAATTATTATAGTGTATGACAATTCGACGGATGTGTGTTTTTGGAGTATGGTAGTTGCCGCTCAGTTCGTTTTGTTTTGTTTTTACATTCTTCGGATGGCTCGCAAGTAGGCACGCGTTCAATACGGAGAAAATCATATTCGACTGAATATTTAAATGTTGGAAAAATTTATGCGTTCACGGTTTGCTCGCAGAAATTCTACCGCACGCTGAGCGAAATAAAATCGGAAGTCGAATCGATAATCAAAACTGGTCGCAAGATGGTCGAGGAGGGGGCGGTTGCCGAGCCGCAGGAGTTCTCGAAGAGGATCGACGGCCTGAAGGAGCTGTACAACAAGCTAGGCGCTCAGATCACCGAGTCGAAGTCGAGGCTCGAGAGTGCTTTGTTGACGGCTCGCGAGATACAGAACGACCTGCAGTCGCTGAGGGGCTGGCTGGACGGGCTCACGAACGACGTCGGGCGGCAGGCGCTCGAGCTGGAGATGTCCCGCATGGAGGCGATCAAGGACAAGCTGACCGCGAACTACGCGGAGCTGTGCAAGTGCTGCGAGCCGGAGTACCTGACTACGCTCCGTGAGCAGATAGACGACGTGAACGCGCGGTGGACGAGGCTGCGGACTGGTGCCGGGGGCGAGGGGGAGGGCGCGGCGCTGAGACGCTGGCTGCGTGGCGTGCGTCGCCAGTTGCCCTCCTCCGCCTCCCCCTCCCACGCCCTCTCGCGGCTGCGCTCGCTGCGGACCGAGCTGCAGGGTCGGGCGGCGTTGGTCGCTGCTTCCGCAGCCACAGACCCACACCTCGCCGACCTCTGGAAGGATACCCTCGACACGATCGACAAGCTCGTAAGTACCCTTCCCTAACATTTACACATTTTACATTCCCTCTCAGCTTTTCACTTTGCTAGCAATCGACTAGCAGCTGTGGCTGCCCCTACAAATTATTTACGATCAAGTTGTCGATCCTAGAAGGAAATAATCGCTCACTTCTCGCCCATCGAAGAAATTATCATCACATTCTTTTCATTTTCTGCTTGGTTTGGAACACTGTTTATACACTGGTGCACGTAGAAGCGACCGGCGATGAACCGGTATTTAGATTTAAGTTTATTGTGTTTCGATTACCTTCTGAAATTGAATGAATAAAGTAACCGAACTAAACTTTCTCACCCTGTCGTGTGTCGCCGTACTAATACATGAGAGTAAACAGGTCACGCCCGCGCATACCCGACGCGTACCGCTGGAATTGCATCGCTGCTATTGCAAATATACACATGTACATAATAGCAAAAAAATGGTGTTGGTGTTAATACTGTGTGGTGTGAATTGAACGCTTTATGTCTCACTGCATCAAATCATACATTAGCGACACGTCAAGCTTTTGCCGGACTCGCATCACTGAATCATACCTAACCCATCCCATCGAGCATACACAACGGACGCTTTGGGTTTCTTTCCCCTGTTGCAATCATTACTCGATCACCCGGGCTGCGAAATACATTACCAGATTGGAATATGAACTAACCTATACATAACTGCCGTGTGGCTTGTACATATAATATTATTAACTCATTACTAAAGAGACGTAAGACAACCGAGGTTTGTGCTTGCAGGCGCAAGAGGCGGCCGGTGACAGAGACAATAACGCTATCGTTGAATACGAAAATGTAACGGACACTATAAAAAGACGCTTAGAAAGCCCGGTTGATACACCTGAAACTGAAAAGCCCGAATTGAAAAGATCAAAAATACCATTAGCTCTTAAAAGTCCTTTACCCATTAAAAAAGAAATTAAAGACGGGGGAAATAGACGTAGGGGTTCCTCTTTAGAGAGAAGGAAGAATAATGTCGATAGCTCTACGTCCGGCAGTATCACTAGTGACAGTATTGCTAGTTTAATGTCGGTCGATTCCATCGAGGCGTCAACTTCATTAACGAGCTCTTTACCGTCAACGCCGGAGACTCCTAAAAAAGACAGTAGTACCTTCAACCTACTTAAAGACAGTGATCTTTTTACACAAATATCAAATAATCAAATGAAAACAAATAAGCCGATGTCCGAGAACTCTGAACCAAAGGCAGATCCATATCACGTTGTTGAAGTGAAGGAGCATGAGATTATAAAATCAACTGTTTATCCCGTTGAACTGAGAGAAATTTACCCTTCTGAAGCAATTGAAACCGTGGTTGAGTTTATACCACAAACAGTTGAAACAGTTGAGATTATCGATGATACGGAAGGCGAGTCGGTTGGTGATTCCGATAATGATGATGAACAAGTTTCAGTGGACTTGGGTTCTGAACCGAAGACTTTCGTCGTGGAGGTGACAAAGCTAGAAGAACGAATGAAGCCAACTCTTGGCATTTTAAAAAGGAGAACTCCCGGTGATGATAATCCCAAACCGATGAAAGTTACCATGAATGTACCAGACTTAATATCAACTGTCAAAAATAATAATGACGACGACGTGTCTATGAGGACACCGCCGCCTACGCCAATGTGTGGAGCGGATGATATAGAATGTCCCTTATTATATGATCTGTCCGTGAGACAAATGGAAGCGCATAAGAATCTGATGCGAGACGAAGTCAACGAATATCTTATTTTAGATGAAGTGCTGAAAGATCAAGCGGCGCTTCCTGAACCGTCTGTTACCGAAGAAACATTTGGTAACAATAAATCAGAAGTTAGTCAAATGGCTATTGACGCCGAACCTAAATCAATAAAAAACGGCGCGTTGGATCGCACCGACAGGAAGTCAGCAGACAGCGCAGAGGTTGAAGCCATATACTCGGAAGTGGCAGACACCACACCACAGGTAATAATCTAAAGCGAAAAGGTCTCATTGACCTACTTATATTTATTACAACTATTTTTATTTATCTATTTATTATTACTGTCTGAAAATTGTTGTGCTTTTGTTCAGATTCAGACTTAGATATTTCTACTTTAAAATTCTTTAATCTTGTACTTTTATGGATCAAAACAGAATCTTGGCCCTCCTAAAAAGCCTCAACAGCGTCCATCACTTCGCATTCGTCAGCAAATTTCTTGAATCGAATGTGTTCCTTGAGCCGAGAAAATAGATAGAATTTACTGTTCTCACTCTATTCACTCGATCTTGCGGGTGTTGGGGCAGTTCAAATTCCGTTTCTTGAATGGCAGCCATCGTAACTGCAGTTTTCTGTGAAACAGCACCCCAGCTCGCAGTTTGCTTCATCGTTTTCCTTAATAGCCTGAAATAGTGGCTTCCTTTTTTCAAATATTCCACCATAATCATACCTTCAACGTCCCATAAAGCGGACGCCTTAACCTTTCCCTCCGAACTTGACACTTAGAATTTCTTCGGAGTCGATGAGGAGGCTTGTTTCCAAACCATTGATTAAAAAAAATTCTGATCTACTTGGAACCTTTCAAGATTTACTCTCGAAATGTCGACTCTTTTTTTTTCGTTTGCTCGTCGGTTTACATTCCCGGTAACGAACGCGCAGAGAGATTGAGATTTCATATGCAATTCGTTCGCAAGGATTCTTTAAACACTGCCATATGAGATCCCTGTGGCTTGATGATCACTCTTCGAACTGCCAATACGACATTTTCGACTTTTTTTACGTTATTTTCAGTGAGGGATGTGGATGGGCGTCAGTCTCGATGATCATCTTCCGTGAATGTTATGCCCAGCTTAAATTCCTTGGCCCAACGTGCAACTGTGAAATAAGGTGGAGCAAAGTCCCCCAATGTTTCCACCAAGTCGCTGTGTATGTCTTTGGTAGACATTTTTTTTAAACAGAGTTACTTTCGTTTCTCGTATTTTAATGCATGTATGTACCTCCCAGGAATCGTAGCCTATTTACATGATTTAAGAAAGCAAAATTTTTTTTTCATATTTTGTGCACTGGAAATATTCGATCATCATTAGTTTTGGATCACCCTCGTAAATAAAGATAAAATGAAAAATTTCAATATATAAATGAGCAATATAATTTTATTCTTAGGTTGTTACAGTTAGTGTTACTAACTCTTTTTATCTTTTCGGAGTATGTTCATTTTATCCTACCTGTTTTGTGTGCCTTTGTATTTCAGACACGTGTTACTTCAACCTCTGAATTTGACGATAAACAGCCGTTATCGACGTCGACGCCGATCAAAGAAGACGACAAAATCAGGCTGGTGCAAGTGGTCGCTATGTCGCCCAAACTACTCGGCACTAAAGAGCACGAGAATAACGACGAACCCTCTACTCCACCGCCTAAGAGAGATTCAAGATCTTCCGCTAGCCCAATTCTAGGGAACAAGTCTTACATTCCAGTATCTAAAGACAGATCCAAGAATATTACTAATGAGAAATATCAAAAGAATGATGAATTTGATCAGGTAATTTTCGATGAATTTTTTTGAATTATTTCTTTTATTTGCACTGTATGTTGTGTTTATATTTTAACTGATAGCGCCGCGGGTATATACAGCGAAACTTATTTATAGAAGATCTTATGATAAATGGTTAATACCTGTGAAAACATGTTGCATTCTCGATCATAGGTATGGAATTATTTCAATTAATTCATAATAGTTATTTCAGATGGAAATCCAGAATCTTTCAAATACATTTTCACAAACGTGTAAGACAAGGTTATGTTTACGCCTATGATTGCGTATGATTGTTTAATGCTTTAAAACTGATGCGAATTTCAATATAATTTTAAAAATCTGTTTAAATAATTGTGGCCGTGCGAGGAAAGAGAGAGATCTCCCGTCGGGCAAGTTGTTCTGCCCAGGTAGCGGCCAACGCTCTGTGTGATAGTTCGGAACTATTTTATATATACTGTTTTACTTCGGAACTTTGATAGCGTGATTTAGGCTTCAATGTGTTTCGCTTGTGGCGCGACAACAGCGCCGCCACATAATTGTAAGGATGTTATACGTATGATATGCGAAACTATAATGTTTTGTGATCAAATTGTGAATAGCTAATGTCGATATTTGTGATTGCTCAAATCTGGAGAACTCGTTTCGCCAATTCATCAAATGAATAATGTTTTATGTAAGATATGTAAATAGATCGGGAAAAAAGTTTCTTCGTATTTTGTGTATATAAAATTGAAGAAAATTTCTTTGGTTTTACTGTTTGTATCTGGTTGGCAATACATATAGGTCATTAAAAAAATAGAAATAAAGAGTAAAAAACATTTTCCCGCCTTTTATAAATTGTTTTTTGTCCTCTGAAATGAGTGAATCTAACGAAGAAATTCGAAACTTTCAGAAGTTATATCACAAAAAGGAAAAAATGCCACGACCTAATACAGTGTCAGTAAGAGTAGCACAAAGCTGGTTTCAGCGTTTTCAGTCTGGGAATTCTGGTGTCAAACATGCACCTCTCTCTGGTCGCCTTCATACGGATAAAGTCGATGCTATTTTTGAAAAAGTGGAGCAAGATCGGCATATTAATAGTTACGACGTAGCCGAACAATTGAGGATTGACCACAAAACAGTTTTGACCCATTTAACAAAGTCTGGCTGTACAACAAAGTTCAATATTTGGATACTGCAAAAGCGCACTGAAAGAAACTTAATCAATCGTGTACTCATTTGAGATTCTTTATTGAGACCTAATGAAATCGAACCTTTGAAAAGATTGATAACTGGTGAGAAGAAATGGATCACAAGAACGTGCGAAAACGATCATGAAGAAGAAGAAGAAGATCATGGTCAAAGGGTAGTCAAACCCCACAGACTGTAGCGAAACATGCAATAAGGCGATGCCGAGTGTATGGTGGGGTTGGAAGGGGCATCGCTTATTATGAGCTTTTATCGCCGGACAAAACTATCGATTCGGATCTCTACTGCCAACAACTAATGAGACTCAAACAAGAAATTGAGAAAAAACGGCCGGAATTGATCAACAGAAAAAGAGTGGTCTTTCATCATGATAACGCCAGACCACACACATATTTGGCCACTCAGCAAAAATTGAGAGAGCTTAGTTTAGAAGTGTTAATGGATCCACCATATAGTCCTGACCTTGCACCTCAGATTTTCACTAGTTTCGGTCTCTTCAGAAATCTTTGGGTAATGTTGGGTTAACATCAAGGGAGGACTGTCAAATTACTTGTCCGCATTTTTTTGATCAAAATTACCAAGATTTCTACAGCAACGGAATTATGTCAGTACCTATAAGATGGCAACAAATTATAAAACGCCACATATATATTTTAAAAAAAGTCTCTAATTCAACTTCCCCCAACTAATTACGTAGCTTTATTGATTTTTAATAAGATTCATTCATCGTTGCAGTATATTATATTTATATATTTATATATTTGTAGTATAATTGTTAGCGACGCGGAGGAATGTTCCTAAAATTATCATATATTTCGAGTAATAGAACGTTTAATTTACGTCAATTCAAACATATAATTTTTTATCTGAAAGAAAGAATTCGAATTAAGTCTATAGAGTCTACGTTACGACGTTACGAGTATACGTTACGTAGTAATGGGCTACGTAATACGAATAAAGAATTAAATATTGATTTTTTGTTTTAATTTAGAAGCACGTGTTACATATGTTAAGAACATATGGCACACGATAAAGGCTAGAAAGAGAGCCAAATATTGAAAGAGATGACACTAGCCTTCTATATACTTTTGGAGTTCGTGTAGAAATGAGTTGTTCAATTCGTATAGGTAATAATTAACATAGCTGAAATTGAGTCTCTAAATATATTTGTAATTAATTAATTGATAATAGAAATACTTATTTCACGAAAAATATTATGTTTTATGTAATAAACAATTCAGGATGGTTTTATAAAATAAGACAATAAATATATAAAAAGCATTTAATTCTATTGATATAATGTTTAAATAATAGTAAATATATGTAAGAAATTAAATTTCAATATTTAATGCTTTAAATATTTAACTTGTGAATTAAATTGCTATATTGTTTGACGACATATTGAATTGAATTGAAGACTTTGCAATTTGTTCGGCACCAGTGACAGTTTCCGTATCACATTTCCAAAGGGAGTTTTGTGGAAGAAATTGCTGTTCTATTTCAAGATCCTTCAGTGTTCATACTAATAGTAGGGTAAAGAAGATACTACTCATGTAAGCGCATAAAGCTGGTGTCAAGAACGGGGCAATTTCCATAGGGGTTTGTAATCCGAATCGAGCGTCTCTCTGGGGTCACGCCCACCTCGTTGCCCCGAATACAGCGTGGTGGTGGTGTTGGTTTGTGAATAGAAGATCAATCATTGGTTGATCCATGAATGGTAGCGTTAGAGGAAGAGTTTGGTTAGCCCTTCGCATCCGGATTATGAAGCCAGCAAGAGAAGAAGGGAATTTCGTAAAGCCAGCATAGGAGGCCAACTGGATCTGATGCAGAACCGAAGAAGACATTGAATTGAAGACTTGACCTGAAATTGGATCGCTGCCGGAAGCAAGAAATCGGGACTGCTGCAGGGTCCGCTATTGATCCAATCCGCGTCGCTGCAAGTGAGGCGACAAGAAGTAGGTGGTGGGCATCCGTAAGAAGGAAGGAAACTGCGAACGGACGAGAGGGCCCAAATCAGGCAATAATATATATAATAAAATAGCAGACTAATACTGCTGTTTCAGTTTAAATACATAAATTGCACAAGGACAAACATCCAGACCCGAAACAACTACTTTTAGGCCATACAGATACTTGTTCCGTGCGGGATTCGAACCCACGGCTCTCAGCGCTATAACTCATTGCTAAGCTACTGCGCCATGGAGCCTACAACGCCGTCATTCCTAAGTACAAATACCTAAAAAGTTAAAGTAATATTAAAGTTGATTTCTGATAGTTTTAAAGTAATTCTGTTAAAAGTGTTTTCAAAGAAAAATTAGAAGTAATAGTAACCATTACTTTTAATTTTTTTTATATTATTTATTTGGGAAAACTTGTGTGTATTTAAAATACTTATAACATGACCGCTTAAGGCATGCAAATTTGGATTTACCAAAAGTTTTTAAAAATTATACCAGTTTAGTTGTATGGACCTAGAGTAAAGGTTAAGACCACAGCTCTTCTGGATGAAGGTTCGACCATGACGCTAATAGAGGAGCATATAGTTAAGAAGTTAGCTCCCTGCGGGCCCCAAGAAAAGTTATATACTGAAGGCATAAGGGACAAGCAAATTAACAGCGACAGTAGTTCGTATCGTTTGGACTTTAAGATTAAGGGAATGTTCACACGCGACTTAGCAGATATATGTGTGTAAACCATTAAGGCACTTAATCTCGTTCCAGAATCTGTGAGCCGAGAGTTATTGAAACGGTGTTCGCATTTTATTTTATTTTTAGCGAATAAGGTACACAAAAAAAAACGGTAGTTTTATAAAGTTCTAAAATTAGAATTTTGTACCCATAGAGGATGAATTGGTATATGAAAAGTCCAAACCTACCATACTGACTAGGCAGAATAAATTCCCATCTGTGGCGTCCCTTACAAAACTCGGCTGGGTCCTGCATGGCCACGTGACGGGTGGTATTAAACCGGTTAGATTTAATAACCACATCACAAGTGGAAAGAGGATTATTTCAATCTTAAATCGTTGGGCATCGCCGCGCGCAAGCCGGTGAATGATTCCGAAGTACGGGCGCTGGATATTTTAAGTAAAACGTTACGTCGTTTACCGAACAACAGATACGGATCTGGTTTATTATGGCGGTCTGGTGTTGAAAGCATGCCACCGAATAGAACGCAGGCTGAAAGTCGTGTTTTATCAATAAATTTAGGGCATTAAGTTTGTTTGCGATATTCACCTGTAAAACTTAGCGTTAGTTATGTAGTATTATTGATAATTGGCAATATCCATGGTTATGTGATAATGATCCACGGCAGGATATAGACTAACGTGCATGGCTCATAGACATCTACATGTAACCTAGCTTAAGAATCAAAATGCAGATGCGTTGTCACCCTTGAGGACTAAGATAAAATGGCTCGATTCCAGTAAAACGGGTCTCCGGTTCTCTACACTCACCATATGAAACATAGCAGCGTTAAGCTGTTATTTTACGTTGATATTCTGTGAGAGTGTGGTCCTTCCCCGGTCGAGCAAACCCCTTAATGCTACAACCATAATAGCTGCAGTGTGGCTCTACCCTAAAAACTATTGGATTACGAATCAGCTACCTTTTAAGAACTTAAAAGGTAGCTGCTTCGTATCCGGCTCGAAGGACCATTAAAATGTAAGGTTAAGTTGTGATTTCGTACACCTAAGTAGTTTAGTTATTGCGTGCAAAGAGAAAGAGCGTAGTAAAAAAATGTATTAAAGTTAAACTAGATTTAAAAAGTAATGATAGACGTGGTTTGTCTCTTGATGGTAATGCTTTAATAGTTTATTAGTGTGTTAGGTTTAAAGCAAGTGACTCGGTCTAAGTAAGACGTGCGTTAGTAAAAATGATAGTACTAGAAATAAGATAACCGTGTAATAATGTAAGGAATAAAGGCTTTTTTATTTGTTTCGTTTTGAAACTAGGAATCAAGAACAGAGAGCACTGACAGCACGGAGAGTGTACCTGCGGCGCCGTCGCTGCAAAGCCTGTTCCCCGAGGCGTGCGCTGCCGACCCCGAGCTGGCGCGCTTCGAGCAGCAGGCGCTGAATGTGGCACGCCGCATGCACGTGATGCTGCTCACCGTGCGCGGGGTGGCCAGCGAGCGCGACCCCGCCAAGCGCCTCGAGGTACTGCTCGCTCCATACTGCACACTGCACAATCTGCGCTATTGACCTGTAAATACTGTGAAATAGAGCAGCCGACGCTGAGCGTGGTGCGTCGCATACACGTGATGCTGCTCACCGTGTGCGGGGTGGCCAGCGAGCGCGACCCCGCCAAGCGCCTTGAGGTATTGCTCGCTGCATACTGCACATTGCACAATCTGCGCCATTGACCTGTAAGTACTATGTAATAGAGCAGCCGGCGCTGAGCGTGGTGCGCCGCATACACGTGATGCTGCTCACCGTGTGCGGGGTGGCCAGCGAGCGCGACCCCACCAAGCGCCTCGAGGTACTGCTTGCTGCACACTGCACACTGCACAATCTGCGCCATTGACCTGTAAATACTATGTACTTGAGCAACAGTCGCTGAGCGTGGCGCACCGCAAGCACGTGATGTTGCTCACCGAAGTACCGCCTCACGCTACGTGTGGTATAGCCGTACTGCAGCTATGTTATGCTTGTGTGTAGCGCGAATGGGTAAGCTAGATCCGGTGAGTTCTACGCTCTCACAGAATACTAGCGTAAACTAGCAGCTCAATGCTGATGTGTTTTGTATGGTGAGTGTTGAGAACTGGAGACCGTTTTTACTGGTACTGGTGGACATCATGGTCCTCAAGGGTGACATCTGGATTTTAAATTGTAATTGAGGTTAAATGTAGATGTCTTTGAGCCACAATATCCAATTATCATTAAGTGGACTGTGTGCTCGTTTGACACCCTTATCAGGCCTCTATCACTTTGCTACCGGCGGAAATAATTACCTAAAATCGCGACGCGCCCGCGCGAAATAACGCAGCCAGGGCTCGCGCGTTGGATGAATTTTAGAGATTTTTAACGCTGTTTACGTAAATACTTTTTGAAATAGTTTTTGTTTAGTGTTTAGTATAAATTGTAGGTAAAAATAGTTGTAAAAGTTTTAATGTATTTTAAAAATTATATAATATATATATATATATATATATATATATATATATATATATATATATATATATATATATTACCTATTTGATAAATTATAATAGCAAAACGTCGTTCCTACTATAACTGTTGCTTAGATGGATACTAAATGAAATGACCAACCAAAGGTTTCATATCATTCTTTAAGTTAACGAAGAATTTTAGAAGGAAGTTATGAAAGGTGAATTTATTTAATTTTTTTGTTAGATAGGTACTCACAGCAAAAATAATTAGGTAATAATTTGGTCTACATAAGAAATACCTAAGTACTTCATTACAAAAATTAGTTAAAATTTACTTCACTATCCAAGTATTTACTTATATACCTATACTTGTCTTTTTAATTTCTCCCAAGCGTTACGATTCCCGACGAATGACGTTGCAATTTGCATGCGTTAGGCATCGCAGAACTCACATATGGGCGAAAGTATGGTTAGTCAATCATAGTCAGAATATTAGTTAGTACTTCACCTTAGTAACGTAATTAACATTTCGCAATGTATTTTTTTACTTTCTATTGACATCCCTTAATAACCACGGAAAGTCCACCGTGGCAAAAAAGATGCAAAGTAATATGGACACTAGCGCGCAGCGATAAAGTTTTATTTAGCATGCGTGTGCGATTTATCTGATTAATAATAATTAGGTAGGTTATTAAACGTCGGTAAGCAGTCGACATCAAAGGAGTGCAACTTCTGTACGTAGTACTATTATTTATTCTGTGCCCTTATTTTATAAAAAAAGGACAATGGGGAGTTTTCAGTACCAAGAAGATTGCAATGCAATGGACGATATGAAAGACAAGCTATCCATAATAATATAATATAATGTCTGTGCGGCCGGAGCTAAGTTCTGCAAGACCCGCCGCAGAAGATAACAAAAAATCTCCGATCACACTCTTAATCTCATGGCTGTTAGACGGGAGATGAGGCTGCAACCGTCAACAGATTTGAAAGCATACAGGCAACTGAACAGACAGATCTCCAAATGCATACGGCGAGACTTACGCAACTTTAATACTGCTCGGATTAAAGAAGCAATCGAGCGGAAAGGCCCCAGGCGAGGATGGAATTAGAAGGTCTTTCAGAAGGTCTTCAATTCCGCTTTCATGATGGCAATACTCTGGCGGCGTGGGGCGGTGGACTTGTTCTTCAAGAAAGGCGACAACGCTCTCTTGAAGAACTACGAACCGATATCCGTTCTGAGCCGTACCTACGTGCTTTTTTCGAGAGTTATTACAAATCGTCTCGCACGCAGACTCGACGACTTCCAGCCTCCCGAACAAGCCGGTTTTAGAAAAGGCTTTAGCACCATAGACCACATACATACTCTTCGGCAAATTATACAGAAGTACGAAGAGTGCATTCTGCCACTTTGCCTGGCGTATGTGGATTATGAGAAAGCCTTTGATTCCGTCGAAATTTGGGCGATGCTACAGTCCCTTCAGCGATGCCAAGTTGACTGTCGGTATGTCGAAGTGCTGAAGAAGTGTTTGTACAGTAGGGCTACGATGGCTATCCGAGTACAGAACCAGAGTACGAAAGCTATCTAACTGCAGAGAGGTGTAGGACAGGGTGATGTTATATCCAAAAAACTCTTCATCGCTGCATTGGAAGACGTTTTCAAGCTACTGGACTGGAAAGGATACGGTATTAACTTCAATGGCGAGTACATCACTCACTTTCGATTTGCCGACGATATAGTCCTTATGGCAGAATCGTTGGAGGACCTTAGCACTATGCTCAATGACCTTAATAGTGTCTCCCAACGGATAGGTCTTAAGATGAACATGGACAAAACAAAGATCATGTTTAATGTCCATGTCTCACCTATGCCGGTAGTTGTTGGGAGTACTATGATCGAAGTTGTTGACGAGTACGTTTACCTGGGACAAATAGTCCGACTAGGTAAGTCCAACTTCGACCGAGAGGTAAATCAACGTATTCAACTCGGCTGGGCAGCGTTCGGGAAATTACGACATATCTTCTCGTCAGGTATACCTCAAAACTTGAAAACTAGATTGTACAACCAGTGTGTATTGCCAGTGATGATTTACGCATCTGAGACGTGATCCTTCACTGCTGGCCGTATTAGGATGCTCAAGGTCGCGCAGCAAGAGGGCTATGCTCGGGGTTTATCTGCGTAGTAGACTTAGAAATGAGGATATCTGCAGTAGAACCAGAGTGACATATCTGCAGTAGAACCAGAGTGACAGACATACCAGAACGGATTAGTAAGCTAAAGTGGCAATGCGCTGGCTATATACCTCGAAGAACCGACAGCCGAGGGGAAAAAAGGTTCTCGAGTGGCAGCCTCGTTCCGGTGGTAGGCGTAGTGTAGGGCGACCCCCCACTAGATGGAGTGCTGACCTGATAAGACATGCAGGAATTCGATAGATGCAAGTGGCTCAGGACCGTGCTTTGTGTCATTCCATGGGTTGAGTAGTGGACTTGTGAAGGGCTTTAATTAATGAAAAATTAATGGGGAGCTCGGTGGGACGCTTTTTAAATCTTATATTCGTCTCGGACAGATATTGAAGAATCAGCTGGGTTCGGTGGCTCCGGACGCAGCTGCGCTCATTTCCCGCGGCGACAGCCTGGTCTACGCCAAGCACAAGGAGAACCCGCAGCTGGCGGAGTACTTGCGGACCCACTTCCAGGACGAATTACGCAGCGAATGGTCGTCGGTGATGGCGGAGATTGAGTCGAAGCGTAACGCCGCAATGAAGGCCGAGGACGACGTGAAGGAGTTAACTACGCTGACGGAGCGGCTGCAGGAATGGGCGCTGGAGTGCGAGGGGCGCGTGGCGGGGGAGGCGGGAAAGGTGAGTGCAATGCGCGTACACATCATGTGTCATTCAATCGTTTTTAGTTACCCGATGATTTAAATATTGGTTTTTCTTACGATTCGGGTCATTCCGGTCGATTATTTATATGGATTATTTCAAATTTCAGTACTCTGCGATCTGTGATACCTGTTTGATTTTGTCAGTCATTGGACATTATACTCATTGGATTCGCGAGCGCAGGTCATTTAGTTTTAATCGAACATAAATAAATGTTTTATTTTACTTTTTTTATTGCAGTGTTGTGAATTTTACCGTATAAATGGTTTAATATTTTGAATAAAATTTACTACTAAACAAATGAAAGAAATTTGTATTTTATGCTTTCGAAAGGTAAAAATTGGTCTTTTCCTATATCTATTTGTTTCTCAAATTTAAACCTACATTAAAATCGATCTCACAAATTTGTATTATTCATAAGGATTTGTTTAAGCGATTTTGACAATTATATTCACAATTTATGCAAATAGTCATAGGTTATATAGATCCTGTCAATCGTTTGATCCGGATATTCATAAATGTAGTTGGAATCATTAGTACTTTGACTTGGGTGAGTTATCAAAGTCTAGACGGCGAAGTTGTGCGGTGCGGTGTTGGGCGAGACGCGGGCAGCTTGTTACTGTACGAATGAACATTCACTAAATAGTCGTTTGGGGATTGCTGTTCCTTTCACGTTATATTTCAATTTCAAATAATAACATTCTCGCAGCTGGTCAGTTATACAGATGAAGGATCTAAAGAAAAATATTACAGTTGATCATATTTCTTTTATTTCGTGTTCATTTTAACTTATTTTTATTGTCATTGAACTAATTTTATATTTACCGTTACAACCAATGAAAGTTTACTGCTGAGCACAGGTGTCCTCCATAAATTGTTTATAGAGGGATATTAGCCATAGTTGCTACCATTGGCAAGAGAGTTGGCAATTGCAGTTGATTATTTTGATTCGTTAATAGGAAGATGGTACCTCTTATTTATTGCTTTAGTTTCCTTCTGTTGACTCTTACGTCGACCAACGGATCGTATGGGGCAGTGGATAATCTTACACCGCTACTGCACGGTCAATAATTGTCTGAATAAATAATTTCATTTTTTAAAACGTGGAATGAAAAAAACTCAATTTATTATTTGTTTTTTTTCCGTTGCAATAACTAAAATTGATAGTTTTTGACGAAGTGTAGATGATGTGTGCTTGTCCGAGAACATGTAACGCGATATGTGAGTGAGTGTGCGCACGGGCAGGTGCGTGCGGAGGCGGAGGCGCGCGAGGCTGCGGCGGCGCGCGTGTGCGAGCTGGCGCGGACGCTGCGCGTGGCGCGCGTGGCTTTCCCCGAGCGACGCGCCGCTGCCGCCGCCGCCGCGCCGCGCCGCCTGCGCGAGCTGTGCGCCGCGCACGCCGCCGACGCCACGCACATACACACGGTCACTGTTACTTGCTTCATATTGTCAACTTTTGTTTCTTCGCATTGTGTACAATTTGCCACCGCATACTTTTTAGTAAAACACGTAAATTGACACTTAAAATCGCAGTTATCAATGAGGCAATCATCTAAACCAATTTACTGCGGCAAATGCAAATTTACTACGAGCATTATATTTTTACTGCGGCAGAACCACACTGCAGCTTTATTATGGTTGTAGCACGAATATGTCGACTCAACCGGGATAGGACTGGAGTTAAATACTACTTTGTTTCTTATAGCAAGTGTAGTGAACCGGAGACCCTTTTTACTGCAAACGATGCTTTCCATCTTAGTCCTCAGAGGTAATAACACATCTATACTTAAGTTCTTAGTCATAGATAATTGTAGATACCACAGCATCCACTTACCATTAACTGTACAGTGTGCTCATATGTCATCCTTATTTAATAAAAAAAAAATAATTTACCTTGTCTGTGAGCACTACCCTTTGTACCATTTGACGCCAATTTATTCATTTATCTTACATTTTATTGTACTCCTTTATTTTTATCGTTGTATTCTTTGCTTTTCATACACCAAAAACGACAATACTAAGATTTAAACATAATTATAAAATCTTTTACGTCTGACTTCCACTTACGAAAGGAAATATTGTTTTGCTTGCACAGTTAATGTGTACAAGTAACCCACTCCGTTTTACTACCGTTGACCTGTAGGTACAGGTAAATCAAAGTGCATAATTGTAATCATTGTGTAGTTAAAATGTATGTTCATGCAATCATGCATGCAGGAGAACACGGAGGCAAGTGCACACGAGCTGTTGCGGCGCACGCAGCAGACGCAGGAGCAGCTGGCGGCGGCCGCGGCACGCCTGCGAGCTGCTCCGCTTGCTGGCCCGGACTACGACGAGTTCCCGCTGCAGGAGGACGCGCTCGCGGTGTGTACTTACACACACACACACACACACACACACACACACACACACACACACACAACAAACATATACACACACACACACACACCACACACACACACACACACACACACACACACACACACACAAACATATACACACGCACACGCGCACACACACACACACACACACACACACACACACACACACACACACACACAGAGAGAGAGAGAGAGAGAGAGAGAGATATACAAACCCAGCTGACGCGGGAGCAAGTGGTGTCAGCCGCGGCCCGCCTGTTGTAGGTTTTTTTTGTTTCTTTTTATACTTAAATTTACAAAAATGAGGACGTATGGAAAATTTTCGACGTTAATTTACCGATTTTGCTTGTTACTTTTTATCGAAGGTAAAATGGTAAATTAGTTTGTATATTTTAGTAATACTAGTATCGATATGTTTGCAACATTCAGAATGTAAAGACGTCGATGTCCGAAGTGAAAGTGAGTATGGAGGCGCTGGAAAGGGAATACTCGTGGCTGACGCGCCGCAGCCGCGCCGAGCACCTGCAGCAGCTGGAGCCGCTGCGGCGCGTGCGCGACCAGCTGCAAGACGACTGGATCGCACTGCAGGACGCATACCAGGACCGGTACGAAAGGTCAGTTGCATATTAAAACTATAACTATAACATTATATTTACTGTGCAGTACCGGTGTAACAATATCCACTGCCCGCATCGTGCTGGAGTGTTGTGCGAGATGACACAGGAAACGAACCAGGAGACGGGCAGCAACTGCTTCCTATCAACGACTAAAATTAAAGAACGGCGGTTGCCAACCCGCCTTACTGGCGTGCCAACTATGACAAATATCCTCCTTATGAGGCAATTAAATTTACTATTTGACCTGGTAGGTGGCTCTGTTATCGAGATCCAGAAATCACTCGTTTGGAGCCGGGACGAATCCGTTGTAATATATAAAAAATTGACATAGATAACATTGCAGCAGGCTTGAGAAAGGTATTTGTCACAGTATGTCATAATTAATTGCAAAATAAATTATCTGACATCGGTATCGAAGGTGCTGTGCGTAACATATTTAATTTTTTTTTAATTTTTTTAATTTTAATATTTAATTTAATCATATCTAAGCATTCGTTTTGAGGTAGTAAGACGTGGAAAGAGCCAAAGTAGTCCCATAATTGTAACATGTGTTAACGAGGCGCTCTATCTTAGCCCTCAGGGATGACATTACATTTGCATTTTGTTTGTAGATGTCTATGGATCACAGCACCCACCTACCATCAGTTATGCTGTGTGTGCGTTTGTCACCCTTATTCTAAAGAAACGCGCTGTACTGCGCGCAGGAAGTGACGTTATGTGTTGTGTGTGTGTGCGAGTCTGATGCGTGCATGTGTATGCGGCAGGTGGCGCACGTGCCAGGAGACGTGGGCGGCGCTGTACCGGGCGCAGGAAGTGACGTTATGTGCTGTGTGTGTGTGCGAGTCTGATGCGTGTATGTGTATGCGGCAGGTGGCGCTCGTGCCAGGAGACGTGGGCGGCGCTGTACCGCGCGCAGGAAGTGACGTTATGTGCTGTGTATGTGTGCGAGTCTGATGCGTGTATGTGTATGCGGCAGGTGGCGCACGTGCCAGGAGACGTGGGCGGCGCTGTACCGCGCGCAGGAAGTGACGTTATGTGCTGTGTATGTGTGCGAGTCTGATGCGTGTATGTGTATGCGGCAGGTGGCGCACGTGCCAGGAGACGTGGGCGGCGCTGTACCGCGCGCTGGAAGTGACGTTATGTGCTGTGTATGTGTGCGAGTCTGATGCGTGTATGTGTATGCGGCAGGTGGCGCACGTGCCAGGAGACGTGGGCGGCGCTGTACCGCGCGCAGGAAGTGACGTTATGTGCTGTGTATGTGTGCGTCTGATGCGATTTATGTGTATGCGGCAGGTGGCGCACGTGCCAGGAGACGTGGGCGGCGCTGTACCGCGCGCAGGAAGTGACGTTATGTGCTGTGTATGTGTGCGAGTCTGATGCGTGTATGTGTATGCGGCAGGTGGCGCACGTGCCAGGAGACGTGGGCGGCGCTGTACCGCGCGCAGGAAGTGACGTTATGTGTTGTGTGTGTGTGCAAGTCTGATGCGTGTATGTGTATGCGGCAGGTGGCGCACGTGCCAGGAGACGTGGGCGGCGCTGTACCGCGCGCAGGAAGTGACGTTATGTGCTGTGTATGTGTGCGAGTCTGATGCGTGTATGTGTATGCGGCAGGTGGCGCACGTGCCAGGAGACGTGGGCGGCGCTGTACCGCGCGCGGGAAGTGACGTTATGTGCTGTGTATGTGTGCGAGTCTGATGCGTGTATGTGTATGCGGCAGGTGGCGCACGTGCCAGGAGACGTGGGCGGCGCTGTACCGCGCGCTGGAGGGGGCCGGCTGCTGGTTGGACGACGCGGAGCGGACGCTCGACCGCTTGGCTGCTGCACCAGATGGCCGCGATCTGAACGACCTCGACGGACAGGTGACAATACAATTAATCGATAAAAAAATTGTCACCATTAAACTAATATTAATCATTCCTATTCATGTGTGTTTAGGTAATTGTTTTATATATTTCTTATATAACCTATAGTTTTCATTTTCGTGTAGTAGCGGTGTAAAAATGTCCATTATTTGATATCGTTCCGTGGGTATTGTTAGAGGCGACAAACGGAAGTATAGTAGGGGATGGGCAGCAGTACGTCTTCTCATAATGATAAGAAAGTGCGATGAGAAACGCACCTGCCCACCTGCCCACCTGCCCACCTACCCACCTGCCCACCTGCCCACCTACCCACCTGCCCACCTGCCTAGCTCGGCATCCATGGCAAAAAAGTAATTAATTTATGCGGAAGCAGCAGATCGCATCAGTTCAGCAGTCAGACTTTTTATAGGTGTGAGAGTACTTATTACAGTTTAACGTATGTTAGACCCCTCATTTTGAGTTACATAAAGCTATATAAGTCAAAAACTAACAGCACTAATATTACAGAAAATAAAAGACTTACGTTATTTATTATTATTTTAACATAATGTATTTTGGTTGAATATTGGATACTATTTAGTTATTGAAATATTGTAAATTAAGTGTATAAAATAATCACGTATATATATCCTACGTATATATCATTAAGAATTTAATTTCCTGTTTTGATCATTAGTAGGGATGAAATATTTGATGCGAAAAATAGAAATTATATTTTTATCTCGGCTATTGTGATTATTAAGGATCTGCCGCACTGAACCCACATACAATATTGTTATGTTAAAAAATAAAAACCATATTTATTTTTAACTTAATTATTTTAAAAACTTGAGAGTTGCACTTCGATAAAATATACATGATGCAAGAATATGTTACCGTCGAATAGCGTGTATGAAGCGGAATGGTGTTGTTAGATGCGTGTCAGCGTGTGAGAGAGTCAGGGAGTGAGAGATGTGACGTGGGGCAGATGAAGGAACGCTCGGCGGCGCTGGAGGTGGCGGCGGAGCGCGCGCGCGGCGTGCTGGCGGCGTGCGGCGCGCGCCTGGCGCACGAGCTGGGCGCACAGCTGCAGCCGCTGCGGAGCAGCGCGCCGCCGCCGCGCGCGCGCGCCTCCGGCAGCTGCAGCAGCCTCAGCCGCAGCCCGCCGCCGTCCTGGCGCGCGTGCGCGACCTGCTGCACAACACCAGCGCCAACCCCTCCGACCACACCAGCCTCTCTATACGGCTTAGCCTCGTCAAGGTACGCACGCACGTACACACACGTACGTGCACACGCACACGCACACCTACATTAATTACGTAAACATTTTTAAGTTTTATGAAAGTATTTAGAGAAGAGTTAATAAAGTGAGTGTAGAATTTTTCTTTTTTTATAGCATAGGGTAACAAACGAGCACACAGTCCACCTGATGGTAAGTGGTTGCTGTGGCCCATAGACATCTACATCTATCCTCCATTACGAATCAAAATGCAGATGCGTTGTTACCCGTGAGGACTGAGATGGAATGCCTCGTTTCCAGTAAAAAGAGTCTCCGGTTTTCTACACTTACCATAAGAAACACACCAGCATTAAGCTACTATTTAACGCTGGTATTTTGTGAGAGCGTGGTCTTTTCCCGGTCGCGCCTACCCATTCGTGCTACAACTATACTACTAATATAACTGCAGCATGGCTCTATCACGTGTAGAATAATATTATTTACTCAAATAACCAGATTAAACAACTCATTTGTTAAAAATTATAAAATATTATTTAACAATTTGTTTTAATTATTTGCATAATCAGTAAAACTTGTAATATAATCATTCAGTGTTTTCCGCACAAAAAGGAAACACAAATTACTTCAACGTATTATTTGAAAACATTACTTCATACCAGTGCCACCGTAATTGCTAATAAAATGTAATCGATCAATCAATTTTCTACCCCATATAGAATATTTTGCTTAAGCATCTTAACGACACTGAAGCAAACGATGTCAAACATCTTTCTTTAAAACTACGCTTGCCACAGATGACTATTGTGGCAAATATATATTATTATAAAACAAATATATATTATTATAAAACAAATATATATTATTATAAAACAAATATATATTATTATAAAACCTTTACAATCCGAAAGAGGAGTTTTGATTGACTCTTGTTGTTTCCTGAAGTTCTCAAATCATCCATTGTTAAACCACTATTTAAAAACGATGACAGAGAGGACTTATCCTGTTATCGTCTGATTACTATGACTTCTATATTTTACCAAATTATAGAAAAGGTACTTTATAAAAACTATGTAGGCAATTACTTTGAAAAATTCAATATTTTGCAAAAGAACAAACAAAAACTAATCTGTTTAATATTCTAGTATATAATTAATGTGGCAATTTATGAATTTATATATATATATATATATATATATAATTTTTATATTATAATTTTTAAAGTATTTACAAACGTTGACAGAAAAGTACCAGTGACAACCCTATACTAGATGAACTTTTTACCGTCTGAAGAAAGAATAGGGTGTAGGAGCAGAACGATGGAGAAGCCTATCGCACTGATATTTTACAAAAAATAAAAACTAAAAATTTTAATTAAACAAATTAATTAATTAAAATCTATCGAGTATATCAGTATATAAGTCATATCCACTCTACTTTACGAACGGTAATGATACTCCCTCCTTGTCCTAGACATTCTTAACAATTGTAGTACGTCGCATTCCATGCCAGCATCACAATTTATCCAAGCTCGCTAAAAAAAATTTTAAAGCAATATATCTGGCAACACTGTATCAACCCGTCCGTCAATGCAACTTCATTACGTTTTTTGTGCCAGCCATCACGGTGTGTTTTTATAATTTTAGTTATAAAAATTAAATATGTTTAGTGTAAAATCAAATATTTTGTATCCAAAACCTACTACAAATAAATTTATTACGTATCTGCGTGGTAATAATTTGATTATGTACTTGGGAAAGGAAGATATTCAAAATGGAGCCAACCGATCAAAGGTAAACAAAAATCCTATTGTTCGAAGTACAACAGAATAGCTGAATGCAATGTCGCCTCTACTAGTACGTAGTACATAATAGCTCAATGAGTATAAATAATGTAATGAAATAATTTAATTGTGAGAATGTAGTATTGAGGAGTTCGTATTTCCGTCCATTATCTTCTAAGACATTCATCAGATCTTCACTATAGTTATATGTTATTAGTTATAACTCTGAACACATCCAATTAAGTAAAAAAAGAATGTTCCAATCGGTTCATCTAATAACATGTTATGTATGGATAACAATGGAACATAATATATTCATACAAACCGATGAAAAAAAGAAGATGAAAAAAAAGATGAAAAAAATATACCTACCTACCTAGTAGATAGTAGTACTAGAGGCGACAAAGGGAAACAAACCAGGAGATAGCAGCGTCTTCCTTATGCAGCTAACTATAAGAAAACTGCAGTTGTAAACTCGCTTGCCAAGCTTGGCAACTGTGCCCAGTATCCTACGAGGCAACCTGCGGGGACGCCTACGACCAGACGTGGACGTTCGATGAACTGTGCCGATAACGGTAACGAATTCAAAACGATACAAACAAAATGCAAAGAGCATAACATTATGTCATTAACTTACTGCGGGATGTCCAGAAATACACAGAATACGTAGCAGTTTGTTTTCATACATAGAGTTATTAATACCATCATACGTAGGAACACGCGGCCGCGTGAGTCAGGCCGCCACTCTCACTGTATTATTAGCTTGACGTTTTCGCCACGCGCTTTCGCTCTTTTGTCGTAAACTACTTATAGCGATATCGGTTTTATTGTATACGTCATAAGTTTGATATTGTTGTATAAGGGTTTTCCTGTAGGTATGGAAAAGCAATATGCAAAAATTTGCCAAGTGTTAAAACAATTTCAACCTTATGCCTTTGCATATGCAACTAAATTATTAACTTTTTAAGAACAAGATTAAAATCCCTAAAGTTTGTGATATTAAACCTTGTGATACCCGTAATGAAGTAAATAATGCGTAATATGTCGTGCACGACTTTAATTTTGAATGTTTTGTTTGGCGCGAGCAGACTCTGCAAGCTGACTTCCATCCCGCGTCGTTGTCGGGAAAGCCTTCCATAACGTTCTCTTACGATTGCCGCCTGAACGCTAACTGATTGATTTTGTTAAGTATTGGTGTTTCACGTTGAAATAATAAAACATAAGCGTCTAACCCAGGACTCGCGGCATAGCAGCTTTATACTCAAACCACTAAGTTATCAATAAGTGTAACCCTTGTTCAATAACCCTGAATCCAGTCGCAGAGTCGCTGTGCTATTGATATCGGCACCACTCGTAATATCTGATTTGTGATTTAATCGGTTTGGAGCTCGTCGACATTAAAGAGGACTGTTTAGAAACAACAGTTAAAAAAACCAGCCGTCAGGGTTGTGCTGCCGTAGAGCAATGCTTGCAAAAACGCAAAAAATGTCATCATGCAGGTGAGGTTCTAAAATCATTCCGACCTTCTACTCAAGATTTGAAGACCTCTCTGAGTCCACAGATCAAATTGAAGTGATAAAACAAGATTACAATATTCATCATCATCATCATTGGGCAACAGCCCTTCACAAGTCCACTGCTGAACATAGGCCTCCCCCAAGTAATGCCACAAAGCACGGTCCTGAGCCACCTGCATCCATCGACTTCCTGCATATCTTACCAGATCGTCACTCCATCTAGTGGGGGGTCGCCCTACACTACGCCTACCGGTACGAGGCTGCCACTCGAGAACCTTTCTTCCCCATCGGTTATCGGTTCTTCGAGCTATATGGCCGGCCCATTGCCACTTCAGTATACTAATCCGTTGGGCTATGTCGATCACTCTGGTTTTACTGCGGATATCCTCATTTATGAGTCTATCACGCAGAGAAACTCCGAGCATAGCCCTCTCCATAGCTCGCTGAGCGACCTTGAGCGTCCTCATACGGCCAGCAGTGAAGAACCACGTCTCAGATCCGTAAGTCATCACTTACGGATCTGAGACGTGGACATCATTGGCAACACGCACTGGTTCTACAATCTAGTTTTTAGAGACTGAGGTATACCTGACGAGAAGATATGTCGTAATTTCCCGAATGCTGCCCAGCCTAGTTAAATCCGTCGATTGACCTCTCGGTCGAAGTTGGACTTACCTAGTCGGACTATTTGTCCCAGGTAAACGTACTCGTCCACAAATTAGAGCATAGTGCTCCCAACAACTACCGGCATAGGTGAGACATGGACATTAAACATAATCTTTGTTTTGTCCATGTTCATCTTAAGACCTATCCGTTGGGAGGCACTATTGAGGTCATTGAGCATAGTGCTTAAGTCCTCCAGCGATTCTGCCATAAGGACTATATCGTCGGCAAATCGAAGGTGAGTGATGTACTCGCCATTGATGTTAATACCGTATCCTTTCCAGTCCAGTAGCTTGAAAATGTCTTCCAATGAAGCGGTGAAGAGTTTCGGGGATATGACGTCACTCTGTCTTACACCTCTCTGCAGTTGGATAGGTTTCGAGCTCTGGTTCTGTACTCGGATAGCCATCGTAGCCCTACTGTACAAACACTTCAGCACTTCGATATACCGACAGTCAACTTGGCACCGCTGAAGGGACTGTAGCACCGCCCAAATTTCGACGGAATCAAAGGCTTTCTCATAGTCCACATACGCCAGGCAAAGTGGTAGATTGTACTCTTCAGTCTTCTGTACAATCTGCCGCAGGATATGTATGTGGTCTACGGTACTGAAGCCTTTTCGGAAACCGGTTTGTTCGGGAGGCTGGAAGTCGTCGAGTGTGTTACAATATTATAAAATTAAATTAGGCGCATAAGCTATTGAAATCTAGTAGTCGAGCGCTAAATAGTTTACAAGATTAAAAAATGTATATAATTAATCGCACCTCTTTGGAACTTAGTACATTTGCGTCAGTTATATAGATGTCCACACTATGGGAATGTATTGGATGTTTGTGGACTGCTTTTGCGTAATCTGTACATGGACCACTTTGCATTGCTTTTGTAGCTAATGGAATGACCGGGAGCTGCGTGGTTCAAGTAATGTCCGTGACTGCAGTAATTGTAAAAATGTGAATGATTATTTATGTGTTCCTTAATACTTGTTTAAAACCAGACTGTATTATTTTGGATTCATCTTCACTGAACTATTCAACACTACTTTAAAAGGCGGACTAAATTG